TGGGCGCGGTTCCGTCGTACGGCGTCCCGGCGAAACGACGGTGGAGAGGGCTCGTAATTGCGGTGCTCGGTCTCGTCATTCTCTCCATGCTCGTCCCTCTTGTCTTCTTACTAGGCCTCCACAACGGTTTCCACTCTCCCGGTATGATCTCGCCGAGATCTCTCTCCTCTCTATGATTTCCCTTCCCTTCTCCCACATTCTCCGTTCGCGGCAGATCCGCGTCGATTCGCACTCTTCCTCGCTCGCCACGCTGCACTATGCTCTAGATCTATTGTTTTCCCACGCTGCGTCGCCGAATCTTCGCATGTTTTTAATCAATCAATCGAGTTTCCTTTTCGCCTGTTGCAGCACTTCGAGCTCGAAACGCTTTTGCTGTCGATAAAGATCTGTGTTCGTTTTCTTTTCGATAGTGAAAAAGTAATAAACTATAATGATAACATGGACGAGACTTAGATACAGTTAGTTAGGTGATTTTGGTGCTGTTGTTTGATCTGAATTGGAGTTCCACTTCGTTAATTTGTGTAATAAAGGTTTGCATTAATGTCATCATTCATCTCTAATTCTGATTGTAACGCAGCACTAAAAGCACGTAAGGTACACTGCATCTAAATTTTGCTCTAATAATAATAGTAAGAACGTGTTTACGAGGGAAAGTTAAATGTGTGTATAATTGGAACACGAACGCCACACAAGACGTATATGTTACAATCAATGGTTTGATTTATTTTGTTTTTTTAGAGTTGTGAGCGAAATAATTGGATGGAGTAATTTCATTCAATTTTTAGTTACGTGGAGAATCTGCGTTCTACATATTTTTGCAAATAGCGATCTTGTGTTAATAAATACATATCTGTAGTGTAGTGGAATCTTAAAAATTATGTCTCGCTTTGGATATATTTATATGTATTTATCAGCAGATATTTATGTGTACTTATTAGCAGTGATCATAAATGCACCATTATTTGTTACTGAATTTGCTTTGCTAGTCAGAGATTTTGTGCACTGGCTTGATTTCTTTTGTTTTCTTCTGACTCATGGACTCCATTTTTCGTTGTGATTTTGCAGGATATATCGAACAGAGAAATTCTCCTTCGGTAAGATTTTAAGTTAAATGTATCTGTGAATTGCTACAGTTTTCCAGCTCAGTGTATTAACATTGTATTGATGTCACTGTGTTTATTGTTTTTTTCTCCCTTTGCTTATGTTCTTTTCCAATTCAGAATCAGAAAACTCTTGAAAGATATGATAAACATGATGTTGGCCATAATAAGTCTGAGGTATGGTGGTTTACACCCTCCCCTAGCTATTTTTAGCTGTCCGTTTGTTCTATAGCATTCTTAGGTGAAATATTGTTGGTTGTAGTAACGTCACTGATTTATTTGTGGTCGCTGGTCAAGTTACAGTTGTCACCAATTGCATAAAAAAATGAAAGTTCCAGCGAATTTTGTCGTTTTTCTAAGTAGTCAACTGAGTGAGTACTTTTCGATTCTTTTATAGGTGTGCACAATTATTGATGAGATATTCTCAAAACAATGAAGAAGCAGCAAGCAATTCATCCATTTAATAGTGTATTACTAATCATTAATCAGTAATGCAGTCCAAAAGAAACGTATAACCAGAGAACTAATTACACAAACATCCAAAAGCTCGATCTTTTCTCCCCAAATCCCAAATTCATGTTTCTTTCGAAAATTTCTTTTGCAGGGAGAACAATCATCGAGTCATCATGTGGAGGAACTGATCACAAAGTTTGAACCAACTCTTCCAAAGGTTCTCTGCATAATACTCTGGTGGTTAATTTTTTTTTATTTGTTTGATAAAATCTTGTACCTATGAATTGCTGATTCTCTCATTTTTTTTAATTGAGGAATGAAAATGTATATGTTTATTGTTGCCTACTGTAATTGAAAACAAAACTTAACAGTGTTTCGTTGAAGGGGAATGGAAGGGGGAAGGGGAAATAAGAGGGAGAAAATCCCTTCTCTAAAATATTGAGAGCTTAAAGTTTGTGAATTGTGCTGGCTAAATTATCCTTTTTAAGCTTAATAGTTTTATTTGTTTACTCTATGGGTATAATAGTAGGTTACTTTAGTTTTCATCTCTTTCTCTCATTAGAATCCCTTCTCTGCCCTCCTTTGAACCAAACATACTGAAGGGTTAATCACGTTTCTGTAATTGTCTTCTTCATAAGGTTTTTGGTTCCATGTCAATCTTAATATTTCATCTATTGAAGTTGTTGAGGACTTTGGTTTTTATTATAGTTATGGTGAAATAAATTCATTAGAACAAAAATGGGGGAAAAGTATAAGTAAAAAGGAGAGGACAAATTCACAAGAAAAGAAAAAGAAAAATACATAAGAGAACAATAGAATATAAAAGCAATGTATCAAATGCTGCCCGATCAATAAGCATCTTTGAAATGGCTGTTTAGAAGAATATCATTTATGCTATACTATCCCATAGTTGAGAGGTACAAGATAATCCTATCCTAACTAACTATATGCACCAAATGACTAAATAAACTGCATATTGCCACAAAATATATGGCTCTTCTATTTTGCTGAAGCCTTTGTAGTTTGTACCTAGCCATTCGAAATTGTTCCAAAGTAGGACAAAGCCAATGCCAGAACTGGTGCCCAAAAGTGAAGGTCTAATGTAGTTTTTAAGCATGCCATAAATAATTAAGTTGTGGTTATTTGCCACATTTATATTAAAAGTTTGCATATTGTTCAATTTGGTTATATATATAATAGTATAAACGATAATACTAGTATAAGTAGTATCTGTTGGAAAGTCATCTTAATTGCAGTCACTCCTAGCACACTTTAGTCGCAGCCTTTTTGGGGCTAGCCTCAAGGATGGTGATTTAGTCTCTCATCAACTAGAAATACAGTGTAAGTAAAGCTTATAGAAGCTTAGATGTCCTTACATTACAAATTAATTTTGTGAAGTTGAGTTAGGTCCTAAGTCCAAATTCTAAGATGGTTTGGACTTGAGGGTAAGTGTTGAAAAGCTGCTTTAATTGCAGTACCCCTAGTTCGCCTTAGTTACGACCTCTTTGGTTGCAGACTCCAAGGAGTAGTGGTTTAGTCCCATATCAACTAGAGCCTAGAGATACAACTTAAGTAGAGCTTATAAAAGCTGGGGCAGTTCTCAGTACATACCTTACAAGCCAGTTGGGCTTGAGTTAGGCCCCAATCTCAAATTCATAGTATGTTATTAACAGTACTTTTCTATTATGATTAAGATTTAGTCCAATAGGGATTTTTATATTTTATTTGGTGTCTTTATATTCTGGATAAGGGTTTAGTGTGTGATTTTTTGTTTTTAAGTCTACTCAACGTAAAAGAATTAAGGATTACCCGGATCGTGAAGTGTTGCAGTTTTGGATTTCCATAGAATTAGATGATTAATTATTGTATCTAGTTAGTGTTTTAATTCCTTCTGAGTATCCTTTAATCTTCTAAACTCCTTGCTCCATATTAACTTGACTCGTTTTCTATGGATTATGATTCTTTTGTATTATTGGGGGTATAAATGTACTGATTTGTTTAAAAACTAAAGCTATTAATTATAATAATAATAATTAAATAAAGGGGATACCTTCATTTGTCTCCACATTAGTTTTGTTCTTCAACTAAGTTTCCAAACTATGAGTTTCAACCTCTCATCAAGTACTTTTATTTAACCTTCACTCTCACTCTTCTTTTATTTTTATTTTAAACAAAAATGTAGAGAGGCACAAAGTTCCTCTCTTTCCTCTAGTTGTAAGATAAGAAAGAAAGATCAACGAGGCTAAGAATCCACCAAACACATGGAACTTAAGGGGGCGAGGGGACACTGCATCATATAGATCTAGAATTTTTTGGCAATATCATTAATTATCTGTACTAATTTTGTCAGGATGTTCTCCACAAATATACTCAAGAAGGTAAGAATGACACCATCAATAAGGCTGACAATGATGATAAACAAATAGGTGGCATCGCAGACACTATCAATAAGGCTGGCAATGATGATAAAAAAAGAGGTGGCACCACAGACACTATCAATAAGGCTGGTAATGAGGATAAACAAAGAGGTGGCACCACGGACACTATCAATAAGGCTGGCAATGAGGATAAACAAAGAGGTGGCACCACGGACACTATCAATAAGGCTGGCAATGATGATAAACAAAAAGGTGATCATACCGATTCAATATTATTTTTTCACATCCATGATACCTTCTGGTATCTCATTTCCTTTCCTTTTTCTACTTTTAATTTTTAATAATTTTTCAGGTTCAAAGGCGCTACCTAATGAAGTTGTGCAATCACCTCCAACTTCAAATGTACGCATATATTACTGTAATTGGTTGAAACTTCTGTTCAACACATTAATCAGTAACTGCTCTAAATAGTTTAATTCATAATATTGATTCAGGCCCCAATTTATACTAATAATCTGAACAAGCATAAATCTAGATCTAGACAAAGTCATACTCTCTAATGCTGCCCCTCAAGTAGTAAAACTGCAAGCATAGAAAACATCTAGATATAAAACAACCCAACCCATCTCTACCAAGGGACCTAAGCAGCTAACCCCCCCTCAAAAAAAAAATCAAAATCTTTTGCCAAGGTTTTAAGAAAAATCTGAGGAGATGATTATGACATAATAATGTACGAGAGTTCAGAGTTTGGGGGAACTCTATTCTGCACAATGGAAGGGAAAACACAGGGAAAACACAGGTCACAATGGAAACTGGAATCTACTACTCATGCACCATGTTCAAACTGTCTTCTGGTGATTATTGATTGCTCAGAATAGTTCAATTCGTAACAGACTTAGACTCCCTGTTTATACTAATAATAAAATAGGTCAACTACTAATGTAGTTCAACTAATACAAGCTCAGCCCAATAACACTCACAGGCTCATAGTTATAAGATAAAGTTATATAACTTCTACGCAGCATTAATCTCCAGCAAAGTTCTTTACAAGCTATTTTATATATTGACATTCTTGTGAGGACTTGAACTGATTAAATTCTTAAACAGAATCATAGAAGTGGTCACATTGAACAAGTCGCCCGCCCTAAAACAAGCTCTAATGACGATGGTGGAAAGTCATGTGAGCTCACATTTGGTAGTTATTGCCTATGGCAACAAGAACATAGACAAGAAATGAAAGATGGTTTGGTTAAGAAATTGAAAGACCAACTATTTGTGGCTAGAGCTTATTACCCTAGCATTGCAAAACTCCCAGCACAAGATAAAATGTCTCGCCAACTGAAGCAGAATATACAAGAGATGGAGCATATGCTTAGTGAATCTACTACAGATGCTGATCTTCCACCAGTGTAAGCTGATATTTTCATATTATTTTTCCTTTTCCCTCAAGTTTTACTTGTCTGAGTTGCATTCTGTTTAAGCTGTTATTGGAATCTCATGCAATTGGGCAAAATCTCACCTTCAGTCAAGCAGTGTTATATATATATAACTATTGCATTTCAGTTTTTATAAATAAAAGAAAATAAAAATAGAACTATTGAATTTCAGTTTTTATATCTGCTTGCATTGCTTGTTTTCTTGAATCCAGCTGATTTTAACATTTTCTTAACGTAATTCAATTGTATATGACTTTATTTCTACTTGAATACTCATTTCAGCAGAATCAGCACCATAACCCCATTTATAGTTCCCTGGACAATTATTAACTTGATACATTATTCTCCAAAGTATAGCCTTATCTTTCTTTCTTGTCTCAACTTTGTGCTATCTTTGGGTTTAATATGCCCTTTATTTTGTTTTACCCCACACCGAAAGCTAGTAATCATCCTTGCCTTTCATGGTAGTTATGAATCAACTCTCTTAAAAGCTTAGGGACTGTTTGGTGGATAAGATATAATAGTATAATCATCTTATTATGTTGTAATCAGTTGATGTTGCACAATAGGATATGATAGTCTTATTATACCCCTTTTCCTATCTTATTAATCTAGTATATTTCTTATCTTGAAGGAGGAGTTAGGTTAAGAAACAACATGATAAGATAAGGTTTCTCTCTGCATATAGAGAGATGAAAAAAATAGGCTATGCATCGATAGTTTAAAATAGTTTTATAGTACCATTCAATCACAAAGCATCATGTATGGTAAGTTTGTAGTTTTATAGTACCATTCAATCACAAAGCATCATGTATGGTAAGTTTGTTGACTTTTATAATAAATACCTAAAAAGTCATACCATCATTAAATTGTAATTGGTTGGCAATTTATATTCGGTGCATAGCCATTATAATGTGTGCGCACATTTGTATATATAATAATTTTGACATGTAAATTTAAAATATATTGTTAATTGAAATATTAAAAACTAAATAATTATTATACATTATTTTGAAGAAAATATTTAAATAATAGTTATAATTTAAAAAATATTATATACATATTTTTATAATTTCAAGAAATTAATTTTGTGCAATGTAATCAAAATTATAATTTTTATAATATGTAAATTTTAAAAAATCAAATTAAAAATTACTTTTTAGAAAAATATGTAATTTTAATGAAGCATATCATATTCTATTGATCTATGTCAAATACAGGATAGATGGTATAATATGGGTATCTACTATCTAGTTTGTTATCCTTGTCTATATCAAATATTGAATAAGACTAAAACTCATTTGGCTTTTATCCTATCTTAACTATGATATGCTAACTTACCATATTCTAATCACCAAACGAATTTTTAAGGTTTTAGGTGTAAGCATTTCATCGGTTTTATTACCTCTCTTAATACACTTGTGCAAAAGCCTTTGTGATACGATTTTTATAAGATTGGACTGTCTTGAAAGTAGGTAAAGGAATTTGAAAGAGCTTGACCCCAGTTGTGGCCCACCGGTAAAACCTAAGTTATCAAAGTGAAGCGTGACCCTAACAATCACCTGGCGGTAGAACCAACACTATCAAGTTCTTATCCAAGAACAAAGGAAAAAACTCTCACAATGAGAAACTCACTTGATTAATATTCAAGTCTGCCTTGAATGCTTATAAGAGGCTCCTATTTATAGACTAAGATAAACAACCTCTCACATGTAGTAACTTTCCACTAAGCTTCACTAGGAAATAAATTCCCACTAGCATTTATTTTCCACTAAGTCTAAAATCTCTCAAAACTGGCCTAGGAAATATGAAAATCCATCTGAATTTATTTAATTAAAATAAAATACGAAAATTACATTAAAATTAAGAAAATTGAATTAAGTAACTTTTAAGCCCAAAAGTTAAGTATACCATATTACCATCTAAATCCAGCTCACTGTATCATCTTTAGTAATTGGTGTTGGGCTCATTCTTCAAATTATTATTTTGAACTCTTTTAGATCTTCTTCTAGTCATTGGGTCTTTCATTGGTTGAAAAGGATATTTGAAAATATTGGACCTTGGCAGATTCTTATCACTTTGGCCACTAGCTCATTTAGAAGAATTGGGGGACAGGAAGGATCAAACTTGTGATCACTTGGTGAAGGAGGTTCTAATATCATTTTATGAACCAACTCTCCAAGAGCGAAGCTCTTAGATTTTAAGCACGTGAATGGTTTTGTTACATCTCTTAAGAAGGACTGACTACACCTGTGTTTCCTCTCTTCTTTTTTTCTCCTTTAAAATGGTATGAATTTACAGAAAGTTTACATGGTAGTCAATATTATTTTTCAGGGCTGAGAGCTATTCGAAGAAGATGGAACATTCAATTACCAGAGCAAAATCAGTACCTATGGATTGCAACAATGTTGACAAGAAATTGAGACAAATATTTGATTTGGCCGAGGATGAAGCCATCTTCCACATGAAACAAAGTGCATTCTTGTATAAACTTAATGTTCAGACAATGCCAAAGAGTCTTCACTGCCTGTCACTGAAACTAACTGTAGAATATTTCAAATCCCCAAATTATGAAGAGAAGACTGATGAGGAAAAGTTTATTGATTCTTCATTACACCATTATGTTATTTTCTCTAATAATGTGCTTGCAACTTCAGTGGTTATCAACTCCACTGTATTTCATGCAAAGGTATGCTATGCATCTAGTCATGCACTACTGATTTGATACAGGTTTAATTTTAGCTGATCGCTGATGTAATAATAATTTTACTTGTTGCTGTGAAATGTTTCAGGAAAGTTCAAATCAGGTTTTTCATGTGTTGACTGATGGAGAAAATTATTATGCAATGAAGCTCTGGTTCTTGAGGAACCATTATAAGGAAGCTTCTGTTCAAGTGCTGAATGTTGAGCTGGACAGTGAAAAGGAAAATCCATTGCTTCTATCCTTGTCCGAGGAGTTCCGTGTATCATTTCGTGGTTATGATAATCCATCCATGAACCAGATTAGAACAGAATACCTTTCAATTTTTTCTGATTCACACTATTTACTTCCTGATTTATTCAGCAATTTGAAGAAAGTTGTGGTTTTGGATGATGATGTTGTTATTCAACAAGACTTGTCTGCGTTATGGAACATGGACTTGGGGGATAAAGTTAATGGTGCAGTGCAGTTCTGCTCGGTAAAGCTGGGTCAACTGAGAAGTTATCTTGGTGAGAGAGGTTTTGATCACAATTCTTGTGCTTGGATGTCAGGGTTGAACATAATTGACCTGGTGAGGTGGAGAGAGCTTGGTCTTACTCAAACTTACAAAAAGTTGATAAAAGAGGTATGTGACTAAGTTTATTGCAATCGCATTACATTCTTTTCGGAAAACACTGTTGTTTGAAATAACAATATTGAAATAGTCTTGTTGATTATAGTAGTATCAATAAGAGTGTCAAATTTGAACCAATCTTCAATTGATTGGCCCAAAAAGACAATGAAATGAGCTTGTTTTGGGCCTAACAAAATTGACACAAAAACTTATTTTGGCCTGACCTAGTACAGCTGGCCTGATTTTGCCTAGCGCAACAAACTAAAAAAATGCCAAAATCAACTATTAATCACTAGGGCTAAAGTTTAGGTTCGTGTCTAACTTGGGAGAGCTTTTTAATGGTTCATGATTTTAAGTCAAGTTAGACGAAGGAACTTTTAAAAAAATTTACGTGTATAGGTTGATTTTAACTTCTGCAAGAAGTTTGATGAATTTTGACTCCTTAGTTTACTTTATTTTCTTTTTCTATAATTGCCTACCGTGGTGTTTATCCAAACTGGCCTTAGAATTAATAAGTTTCTCTTTTTGAAGTTTAATTAAATGTCATTTTAAAACAAATACTTATCTATTTTGAGTATCAATTAATATGAAATCTTTTAATACAAGTTAGGAGGCAGCCTGCATAGGGCTGAACTTGGCTAACAATTTGTTAATCTGAATTAAATATTGTCCCACATGGGTTGGGTTAGCCCAAATTGATCTAGATGCAAATCATAGTATTGGAAATAGTTCAATTGTGGATAAAAATTGTTAGTCACATTATTCTTGTAATTAATACATTTAAACGTGATGTTTATGAATACTCTCCTCTGTTGAGTGTAATCTGTGACACCCTTCTACAGTTCTACCCCATTTATTTAAATAAAGAATTTAATTTGTAATAAATTTTAAAATCACAAACATTTATTATATAAGTTTCATCACTTGTCAGTAAAAGAGTTCACAAAATCTTTTCAACAACTGTATTGAATAAAAAGAAACATAACTAAATAATGTGTAAAATTAAAACAAGGCACAAACCGCCCATTTGGACAAAACTCCAACATGAAACATGATTGAATTAAACTTCACTAATTCCAATTAAAATACTAAAATAATAAATCTCTGTCTTGATGACACACTAATTAGAGCAAAAATCCCCAAATAAGTGAAGCTGTAAGTCTCTCTTCCATCAAATATCTCTTCTTGTACCTGATTTATTCCTATAAGTGGCGACCAACCCAAATACAAACGATACACAAACATAGGGAGTGAGAATACATCTCATATATGAAACATAAGAATAGACACACATCTACAATAAGTACATCTCAAATACATATAAATCTTTATCCACACATCCACAATAATCATTGTCATACATTCATCATCTATAATTAAACAAGTCATAAAATTTATCTCAATTATAAAGTAAGACTCGTGTTGTGCATGCTCCTAACTCTACATGCATGTGGTATCAATCTTCTCTTCATCATCATTAGTACAGAATAGCCTAAGAGTCATAGAACAAGACCACCTATGAATAGTGATCCATCTCGAACCACTCTCGACCAAGGGATGTTTATCAGGGTCTTGTTGATTGTTACAGCATCCCATTCCTATTAGATGAGCTATGATATCCCACCTGTATAGACTCATATTATCTCACAAACAAAGTATATGTGCATGAATGATGAATCACATCACAAACATGCAACAATTCTATTCCTCATTTTTCAGTCCGTAGTACCAGACTTAACTATCACTTCTCATCACATTACTCATAGTAACTCAACACTTCATGCATCAATATAATTCTCATACATCAATTCTATCTCATGCACATCATTACTATACACTCTCATCAGTCATTCATCACATATTATAACATTCATCATTATAACATCACACACCATAACATTATTCATTGTCATTACTCATATCAAATATAGTTACTTAAAGAATAATTCACCATTACAACTCTTAAATTATCACTTTTTGTCTTGAGTATTTATGACATCATGTGGTTTAAATGTTAGAATTATACCTAGGCTATCAAGTTGATCTTAATTTTATTAGAAAACTAAGATAAATTATCTACAACTTCTATGTTGATCTCAAAAGATGATTTTACCATCTATTGTTTTTAAAAATTACAAAATTGCAATATTTTAGCTTAATTATGACAATTTAACATTTACTCACTAATTTGATCATAACTTGAGTTCTAGACCTTCTTTTTAGGTGATTTAAGCACCATTGGAAAGCTAATATTCAAGCCTACAACATACCACGCAACCTAATTCGATCATATAAGGGTCCTCGTAATACTTACGTTTCGCGCGCAAAATGTGAGACTCGTCTTATGACTCACATAACTCGATCATCTCCTAACATTTTTATATGATTCTTGAGTCTAAACTATAGCCTCAAATGTCTAGTTTATAACCTAATAAACGGAACTCTAGTTGGTTAATCATACAAAGAGAAATCACCTAAATACTGAGATATGTTCATACCAAAATTTTTAGAATTAAACAAACTACACCAAAGTCTCAAATCATACATACAACCCTAATCTCCAATATATCCATACACATCCTTTTACTTTAATTCTCACTTCAATCAGTCAAATACTTGTTTGTCACTCATCCATTCATAATCATCAAATCATGCAAAATATTCCACCAAATCAAAAGTGCCAATTTATACACACATTACTCTAACCCATCACCACTTCAATTCAACACCAATATGTCAATACAACATGAATCAACACACGAATTCATAGAGTAAAATAGGAATCAATCATCAATTCATTCATATACCTTTACACAGATTAAATTCATCAACCTAAGAGGCTTAGGGATCACCTCTCTACCCTTATTTCTCATATGTCCATAGATTTGACAATCTCACTCCCCCTTACCTTGAGTGACGATCTTGTGGATTAACACACTTCCTGTAGCTCCGACTGCTAATCTACACCTCCTTTAGTGGTCTCTCTTTCTCCCGTGAGTGCTTTAGATTTTTCAGAAGGCACATAGTAATTTAATCCCCATCTTTTTACTTATTTTAATTAACATCCAGGTTGTGGGGAATATGCCTAAATATCTTTAAAAAAATAAATTAATTTTGATAAGAATCTTTTATTTATGTTTCAAATATTTAATCTATTTTGATTATTTTAGGATGTTTCCTTGTTTTTAGAATAAGATGATATCAATATTTGATTTTGTATCACAACTTTTTTCTATAAATAGAGACTTCATAAATAAAATTAGATTATGCTCCTTTGATAAAAAAAATATATCTTTACAAAATACAAATATAAAATAACCCATCACAAGTTGAACCCAGCGTCTAGTCCAAAATCTTCTAATTAACTTCTCTCCTTTTATTTTATTAATAAAATATTTTCTTTATATTATATTCTAATTACTCTAACTTATTTATTTATTTATTTTAATAAAAAAAAATGCGTTGTTACAAAATCCAACTTGAGCAATTCGTTAATCACTTTCTAAAGCCTTAATTTATTCTTTAATACTTTCATTGAACTTGCCAACTTGGATTTTATTATTTGGCTCACTCTTACTGCTGGTTTCTTTCTTTGTCTTTTTTTAACTATTGAGAAAATTTTGGGGGAAAGAAGCTGAACAAGTCTTTTACATTTTGATGGTCATGTTTACATAGCAAATATGAAGTTTCCTATAAAATTCTGTTTTATGTGCTGTATTGTCTTTAATGTCTAATGATTGGATCAATCGATATAGGCTGTTGTATATTTTGGGCTATTTAGACTTTCTGATCTTTTTATTTCCTTATGTAGTTGACCATGCAAGGAGGCTCTGTTAAAGCTGATGCATGGCAGGCAAGCTTGCTCACCTTTGAGAATAAAATATATCCACTCAATGAGTCGTGGGTTGTGTCTGGACTGGGTCATGATTATAGAATTGATACTCAGCCCATTAAGACAGCTGCAGTGCTACACTATAATGGGAAAATGAAACCTTGGCTTGATCTGGGAATTCCACAGTATAAAAGCTACTGGAAGAAGTTTCTGAACAAAGAAGATCAACTCTTAAGTGAATGCAATGTAAATTCATAATAAGTTATGGTCCTTGTGTAAGCTTGCATGTTTTGGAAATTGTAGGGTTGAGCTCTTAAGAAACAAGAGGATGCCTGTGCTTTGGGTGCGCTCAATTTTCTGATCTAGTTTTCGAAGGGGTTTTGTGGAAGAAGCGATGGTGGTGATGAGTTTAACACACCAGTTATAAAATTAATCAGTCAATAAGGAACCTGGAAACTTCCCTGCATTTCTGGCAAAAGGATCAAGAAGTCTGAGTAGCCTCACAGTTTTCAAGATAGCTAATTGGTGTTGAGGTTTTTCCCTACTGTGCCGGTGGGCACTACGAAGATTTATACATGAGCAAGGCAGTGGTCCATGAAAAATAACTCAAATATAAAGACAGTACAATTGTTTGTTTCAAGATTTTATTATTCTACATGATGTAAATTATTCGTAGCTGAGAAACAGGTAGAGCTATTCGTTCTAGTCTTTTGCATTCATAATTTGCTCAAAGTTTGTTCTTATTTGATGACAAGAATGTTGTCCAACAGCTCTATAAAAGAAAAAGTAACAATTTTGTCCCCTAGCAATAGTTTAACAGTAACTACTCTTTGCAATACATTATTGTGTACTGTATCAATGAAACATGCTTTTCATGGGGAGTAGGATCCAAGGTCGTAGTGTGGAACTTTGCTCTCTAGATGCACGCGGAGGCAATGGGATTTGGGAAAACTATGGACAACCTCCGTTAAAAACGCTCAGTTATTTAGCCAAAAAAAAAAAAATGTATAATTTAATATAAACATTGGAAGGTGTGATTGAGAAGTACTCCTGCTGCTGTTCGTCTTGAACTGTAGAAGATCAGGATCCTATGGCATCTTAACAGAGTAGGGTCGCTGGTAACTGCTGATGTTGAATCTTAGGTTAGGAGGAACGCAAGGCACATTTGGCGAACCAAACTACCTACTATTTGAAGGTTATCGTGGATGAAATTTTGGATGGCACCGAAGGAATAAGGTTTGGCGTGGATTCGAGATAAGTGCGTGCATTAGTTAGAGTCATTTTAGAATTACTAATATCCTTTTTTTTTACCAGTGTCATGAAAATAACGTGATTACTAGAAAACAAAAGTAGATATCGAAAACAATTTTGTTTAAAAGCTTAATTCAGGAAGCACCAATATCTATTAAATCAATTGTTATCGGGCTCAAACTTCAAATGTAATCGAGACCGTTGTCTTTTACTTTGCTTTACCCTCTTCCTGATTAAAAAAAATGATTTTAGCTGTATTATGATCGTATTGTATGGAACTAAATTCACACCACACTAGAAAAAATAACTCGATGTACATGGCAGGCACAATTTCTTCTATTTTACTGAACCTGTTCCTTAATTATTCATTTTCAATTGGAAGAAAAATATTACTTCAGGGACACAAATGGATTATTTACGCATCAAACTGTTGATAAAATTAACACGAATGCAATGGATTTCAATGTACACGTTTTATTTAATTTTAAAAATATCACGATGTTTTCCAAAGCAATTAAAGTTCATAGCTTGTTAATTTCAAAATATTGTTTAGTAAACTTTGGTGTATAAACTAATATTATTTGGAACACTGCCATGTTTTCCAGAGAAATAAGTATCATTTTACTTTAGAATATGCGGCTTTTGATTTTCCTCTTGCTCACAAACAAAAGATTATATGCTATAAATAAGAAAGAAAAGCACAATGTGCTTACAAAAAAGATCGTTGAATGTTCGTAGCAGAAGTAATGAATGTGGTTTCATCTACAGTGACTTTGTCTTTTATAAGATATATATCTCTTTCAACATGACTTATTGGGAAAAGAAAAATGAAGGTATCCAAATTCCAAATTTAGAATATGCTTTTCCTTTGTGCTAATATCACGCGGTTGAGAAGCCATTCAAGCCACTGTTCCAAACCAAACTGAACAACCAACAATGGTCATATTAATTTGAGGTAACAAAAAATTCCACTAGACAGTAGTAATAAACTGCAGGTAATACTTGTAACCGATCTAAACATTTAGCGAGAATGAGAAATCCAGCAACTATTATCCAACTCTCTGAATATAAAAGTAACATCCTTATAAGTTCTCTGAATAAAATACTATTAGAAAAACTCTCAAGTGCTCCCCGAGCAAGAGAACTTTCTTGCGTTATATCTTAAGTGGGCACCCCTTCAACCATTTGGTCATCATCACTGTTTCCTATTTTAACTATTTTTCTTTTTCTTTTTATGTTACTGTTGAAGTGGTACACATTAGGCAAGAAAAATCACATGCTTTGGAATCACCGAACAATCTCTCTCTAAACAAAGAGGGACGATGGATGCTACATAGGATCAGAATGTGATGATGATGATGATGACAAGGCCAACGCAAAAGCCTAGCTAGTTGTGATGTGTAATGGCAGTGCCACTATGGAAGGGAGGTCTCCAAGCTGAAGCAGTGAGCAAGCAAAGGTCCTTCCAACCAAGTTTAAGGATGCCATTGTCCTCCACCAAGGTGTATCCCTCAGAGGGAAACATACCAAGGAGTAGACTAGCTTGTGTGGCAGCATTACCAGCTAGAGATATACCTCTAAAGCCACACTGCTGAAGCTTTTCCCTCCAGTTGTGAAACTTTGGCTCTCCAGTCCTTGATGGCCCCCCAACAGCTAGCACATTCCGAATCTCCCTAGACAATAGTTGTTGTTCCACCACATGTCTCTCCTCACTCTCCTCACCATAGCTTGAACCAAGAGAGTCAAATAATGCTGAGTAGTAGTGTATGGCTTCCACAAACCTCCTCAAGAATGAACCAGTGTTGCTAAGGTCTTGTTCCACCACTGTCACCACTTTAGGTGCCAGCCTGCATAACACAATAAGTCCATGCAAGAAATGCAATGTTAGTAATAATAAAACGACCAGACCCATCACCATGTCATTCAAGACATATTATATGCACTCTACAGTTCTTTATTTGTTTCTCCCCCATTAATATGTGTGCAGGGAGTGATTCAAAACAAGACATAATCATTGTTCCCAATCTTCCTATGAAAAAGAAAAAGGCAGAGACATAAAGTGAGTACTAGAACCTATAAAGGTGAAAAAAGGTTTTTGGGGAATTCTTTCATGAAAAAGTACCAAAACTATTTCCACATGTACTAACCCGGTAACCCCCACTCAGCTCATTTCAGCTCCCTCAATAGATCATGCAAATTATAACTAGGCATAATATAAGCAAAACCCATGCAGTGCGTAAATAGAATGAATGGACCTAACCCTTTATATCAATGCATGTAAAACCCTTCTTCACCTACCTCTGCAATAGCCATAAAGTGTTGGTGTCTGAGCCAGTGACATCATAGAGGGAATGTTGCAACCAGTGAACAGCGACGGCTTCGGTTTTGCTAACATTGAGCCTCTCAGGGTCAAGGTTCCCAACTTTCTCAGCCACGGGGAAGAACTCAAAGGGAAGGCCAAGTTTATTTGCAAAATCAGACAAACGCTTACCCGTGGCTTCAAGTGCTTCCATGGAGGTACCAAGCCCCGTGAGCCTCACATAAGGGGCTCCACCAGGTCTTGAAGCTAGAATGTGAAACAAACCTGGCCACTGCAACCCTTGCATTATATCCAGATCTATGATGTGCACCCTCTCTTCCCTTTCAAAAGCTTCTTGGATGGCTTGGTTTGCGGTGAAGTGTGAGAATTTGACAAAAGGACTAATACCATTGAAAACTTGGAAAGCTGATGCCACCTTGTGGCTTTGATGGGTGTGAGGCAAAGTGGCGTATATCCCCAAACATGAACTCACCAACCTTGCTGATATGGCTTCTGAGAAATAAGCCGCCACGCGCTGTGCTGAAGTGCCAAAAGGTGTTGACAATTGAGAAATCTCCAGCAACATCTTGTTGGCATCTTCTAGATTCTCAGCTGAAACCGCTTCGGCACACTGAAGCAGCAAAGTGAGGAGATGCAAACCCTCTTCATCTTTCTTCTTCTGTTCCCGCAACTCCTCTTTCTTTTTTCTTGTCAGTGCCACCTCAGCAGTGCTGGTTGCTCCTAGATCTTCCTCTTGAGGCTGCTTCTCTTGTGGTGGTGAATAATGGGGTGGTGGTGAAGGCAAAGTAACCAAAGAAACTGAAGCGTTGTTGTTGGTGGTGTTGGTGGTGTTATTGTTGTTGTTATCATGGTGAGTGATTGGAGGCACACCCCAATTGGACAACATGTGCTGATTCACAACCACAGCACCACCTGAAGCATCTGTGAAGTGTAAATTAGGAACAATGCCATCAACACGGTTCATGAGCTTGGCTGAGGACACAGGAGGAGGAAGAGAAACCCCTTCTGCGCCACCTCTTTTGTTTTGCGGGGTGGAATCAGTGAGAAGAAGACGCAACCTGTATTCAAGAACCATAGCGAGGTTGGGATTGCAAGGGTATATAATCTCCCTCACGTTGCTGATAAGTTGAGGGATTGAAACACTGTTGGAACTGTGAATGAGATCCTTCAATATACCATCGATCCAACCACTTGTCGCTGCTGAAGTGTCATCCATGGAAGGAGAAGAAGAAGAAGAAGCCACCACGTCAACAATATTACCACCACTGTTTCTTATGTTGCTGTTGTCACGGTTTCTTTGGCTTTGAGAAGGAAAGAGTGGTAAC